GTTGAATGAAAATGTAATTAACTCTAAACTTGTCAAATCAACTGCACATTAATTTCATGTTTTTACTTAATGCGATTTCATGAGAATTTCTGTTGGTCTGTTACCCAGCAGAATTATAATTCACAATTCTATCAATCAAACGTCATGCAACATTGAACGCGAAGATACGAATATGAATTTGTATCACAGTGGTCACCTGGTATCCTTGCTGCTTTAACGAGATAGTTCCATAACGATGATCTTCCATCGTGGTATGGTTCTCGAGTACGAAACTCGACTAATAAAAATTCTAATGAGAAACTTCTAGTATGTGACAGTGGAAAAGTTCAAACTAGTTTGAAGTTTCCGTTTGATCATGCAAAATCACGACATATTTTTGATCGTTTGTAATTTTGTATCGGACCACTGAAATATTTGGAACATTTTTGTTTCCTTTCGACTAATTTGAATTTTATTCGCGTGTTCCTTACATATTTTACAATATAAATATATAACATTATAAATTTTAATGTAAATCTATGAAAATAAATAATATATTATTTCAACGTAAATTTATCAAAAATGTTGAAGTATATACTTTCTACATTGTATTTTGAGAAATATGTGGAAACTTTTTCATTCTTTATTTTAAAGAAATTCTTTCCTAAAGTCTGAAGGATTTATCTCAATGATCGGTAAATAATATAAATCATCAATTACAATTTTAAACGAAATGGTGCAGAATAATATTTAGTGAATAGTATTTTACGTGCTTTCTTCGCAGCTGCAAAATTTATAACTCCATTAAAGAAGTAATGCCCTTAAGTCGAAATACGTGACCAAAGACGAATTTTTAATACCTTAATTAGTAGCAATAACTTATAGCAAAGCCTTCCTTATTCGAATATGTATATACAATAGAATATCTGCTAATAACAAATTATTATTTCCAGTTATTACCAGACAGACATAAAAGTCTGATAACATGTTCGAATGTTTCAAATATAAAAGTTCGAATAAAGAACGCTTTACTTTAATATAATATAATATAATATAATTTAATTTAATATAATATAATAATATAATATAATATAATTTAATTTAATATAATATAATATAATAAAACTTTATATTATATTTTAATATAATATAATATAATATCCTAGTATTGTCCTCCAAATATTGCTTTTAATTTTTCATCAACTTTTCATTAACTTCACTAACTATATTTAATATATTATATATAATAATTCAATATATATAATTAAATATATATAATTCAATGATTATTATATTATATTAATGCATATTATTGAGTCAAAGTATCAACACATTTACGCGAGGTTCTGTCGCGTGTCTGACCATGTCATCCTATTCTCCTTCCGGAGTCTTGTCCAAATATTACACTCCCTTTTACGATACGAAATAAACGAATAAACGAAATGCTGAAAGTTCAAACGAGTGTTGGATATATCGCCAAAATGATTGATTCTTCATCGATTGTTTCATCTGCGGAAGCATATCTATTATTTCTTCATACCCGTTATCCTTATTCAACGAATATGAACCAACTGCACAACAGAACAATATTCCTATGCATCATTCCATCGAATTTAGTCCACGTTTCTTGTGTCTCAGGGGCAACTCCCCGCCGTGTTACGAAGATAAACTGTTCGGTAAATGGTGTTTATTCACGTTAAACTAAGGGAACTGACAATGGAAAATTGGAATACGTCTACAGCATGATGTTGCGTGTAGTGCCTATAATATTAATATGCGTTAATCCACAGTTTTAACTTATCAACATTATTATTAGCAGAAAACTGATTAAAAAATGTTTTATAAATAATTATTTATTACGAGGGACCATTTTTATTAGAAATTTTCTAGTATACATGTATTTTATAAAAAAGAAAGGAAAGAAAGACGAGTAAACTATTAGTAAACTATTTGCTTGTGAATTAATAATGAAAATCAACACTGTTACATTGACGTGAGACCTGCATCGATAACAGCAGGCATTATTTCTAAACGTTAATCTAATCCTTAGTTCACGTTGTTTGAATAAAGAATTCATAAATCTTTCGTTACGTGACATTTTGGCCTTAAAGCCTGCTGTAACGAAAATTCTTGAACATATTTTTCCTGATCTTTTAGAGTCTACTTTTGCTTATTATTATGAAAGAATATCAAGAACATATCGCGCAACAAATAAGACAATTTTACTTGAAATTGCAATATCGACGAATGTTGAGGAATTATGAAAGGAAATATTAAAGATGGAAAAGAAATAATCAACTCAAGACAGGTATAGCGCAAAATATATTGAGACAACAATCGTAAAAGACAAAACACTGCTTTGTTTGTAAAGCACGCGAATGCATATGTGCTCGATTCTCGAGTCGCAGAGTATTATAGCGGTTTAATAAAAGTGCCGTCCATCGTATTTTAACGTGAATATACGAAGTTACGCAGTGAAAGATAATTTACAGGTGATACGTTAGGCTTTATTACCTGGTCTCATGGTCCGTACAACCATGGACAAACCACGCTCTATTGGTACACCGAATGAGCTTAACTAATTACGCCTCTTCTCTGTGTAACTTTAAACTGACCCCCAATAAAGTGGCATTCTCGTTTTAATCACGTGCAAACTAATTTTAGTCAGTTTAAATATAAAACTGTTTAAAATCTCTAATGCGGTTAGCAAACTCTATTAATACGAATGCAATCAACAAGATAGATCGTCGTTGAGAATTTAAAAATATACGAATTCGAATTACGTTTACAGTAAAATAAATGTAAATTAAAGTTACAAATCTTTTGTTAATAAAAGATTCTCCTCGTTGATTTCTTTCTTTTACTCTTTCAGAATCACTTAGGAACGAGAAAATTCGCACTTCGATCGAATATTCACTGCAAATTTCGTAATTTTTATATAGCTAATTACTGTATCGAAAAAATGATACACGAGAGACATTCCAAAGTTTCAATTCGTTTTCGAAAGTTTGAAAATTGAAAAGTCAAGAATTATTAGGATCCAAAATCATTTATTTCGTCTGTTCAAATTTTAAAGATTCTACAGGCTGGAAAAAATAAAGGGTAAGAGAAGTAACAGATGTCTGAATAAAAATCTTCGTTTGTACGTTAAACGAAGATAACTTTCTTTTATCAAAAGAGAATAGCTTATCGGAAATTTAATTTATAAAGGAAATCGCATCCAATAGTTGAAACGGTGGCGCAGAGATCGAAATGCAAATTTGATTATTCATCAATAG